ACAAACAACGGCTTATCATAAGCATCTCATAAGCATGATTATTTACACAGTTGGCATTAAGAAGAACATATAAACGTAACCTGACTAACTTCTAGCAGCTAAATGTGTCTGGAAAAATATTCAAAGGCTTTTATTCTCACAAACCGCGCGGACGTAAATGTGTCTGACTGTTGTGATTGGCTAAAGCAGACGTCTCACGTCAGCACAGTCTAGACGTGCACGCGCTTATTACGGCAATCTTCCTTCTGCATTCACACAGCGCAGCATTCCGGCAAATTGCCGGTAATGTTACAACTTCTCTTTCCGGAAAATAGCCAGAACGAATTTACCGGTATTTTCAAAAAGGACCTGTTCACACATACAACCTCTGTATGTCTGTATGTGTGAAAGGGGCTATTGACTCAAAACACAGTCAAGGAAACTCTCAAATGTATTCAGAGAAAGAAAATCAAGCTGTAGGATGGCCCAGTCAATCACTTTAATCCAATAGAAAATACAAAATAAAGATCAGGTTGGATGGACAAAACCCCAGAACCATCAAGATGTTTCCATCCAGTTTAAGTCCAAGATTAACAATGTCATTTTTCAGATTTTATTTTTATTTATTTTATTTTTTTATGTTTGTATAGTTTGGGTTTTTACCAAAAACTGGTTTAATTCCATGTTAACAACTCCTTTAATCCCAGAAGAAAAAAAACAACGTGTTCAATACTTATTTTCCCTGCTGTAATTTTGTTCAAAATGACTGTTTAATACTGTATAACAGTTTTTATTTTTTTTAAATAGCTGAGTTTTCAGACCATATGGAAATGAAACTAGCTCAGCCAATTGCGAGTGAGGATGGGCAAGGACTTTCGTTTTGGGTGACCAATAGCAAACAGGGAAGTTTTTATTAATACTGAAATCAAATATTGCACTTCTGTTGTGACGCCAGTGCTTCTGAAACACATTTCAGCTTTAAAATTATGTGTTATGTCACTCTCTTCTTGTTATTCACAATACTGTTATGTTCTTATTTCAGTAATCTTTTATAAATGCATCTGCAGATTATTAACTGTCAAGAAAAAACAAAACAAACATTAACACATTACGTTTTGGAACATGTAGTTCTTAGTAAAATGATCATGACAGATGTTCCTTGCACAACATGATTCACTTAAGTACATGTTCCTGAATAAATATCTTTTGTTGGTCCTGAAAGTAGCTTCAGACAATTACAGCCATAACCCTGTCACAGAATCAGAGGGAAATTATAGGCTGTTATGAATGTTGTTCAGTCCTCAAAATGTTACGCTGCCTGCAAATCTTCCTACTTATCAATCGAGATACTGTAATTATGAAATTATGTGATTTTAGATTAGATAAAAATTAATGTGTTTGGGCATTTTCAAATGTTTTGGTCTGTTTTATTTCTCTGTCAAAAACACAAGTAGATTTTTAAATATAAATTAAAAATGAATAAAGTATATTTTCAAATTTCCATCGATGATATTGCATCTTGATAACAACTTACAATATTACCATATTATAATGGTCATGTTCAATAGTAATATTATGTTGGTGTAAATACATTATGTACTATTGGGGTGATTATGTGTCTTAATTTAGCCGTACCTTTTTGTGTTCCAGCCAGCAGATTTTTAGTGACAAATCTTATTTTGACACAAATTTTAAGAAAATGCTTATAATTTAAACAACAAAATAAAAAACTCAACGATACACTCTGGGTAAATTTACAACCCTTTTGTTATTTTATAGATGAAAACATCAACCAAATTAAACTGCTTTAAAACTGCATTAGATCTTTTTTTTTTCTTTCTGTTAATCAACATCAGTCCTGATTAAAACAATAAAACTGCTTAGAAAATTACAGGATGTTAACTCTTTAAATGCCAAATTTATAAATTATGTCACTGATTTGGTGGAAGAAAAGCACACAAAATGATGTATTTTCAATATAAAAAGTAATCGTACGCTGGATTTTTACCTTTTATCAAAGTCTCGGACATGTGAAGCAACATTGCGTTTGATGCATTGTTTTTGATTAATTTAATTTTGTTTCACCCTAATTTACTCTTGGTGGCTGTTTTTTGCCCCATTGACTTTCTTTTTAACCACATTTTTTTAATGCAAAACCATGACACCCTATTATAATGCATTTTTGATTGTGGTTGGTTTAACCTGTTGGTAAGAGGTAAAATTAGTCATTTTTACTGCTGATCATCAGCTGGCATCATTAACCCTTTAGATAGGCCTGTGCTAAAAAAAGTTTAGTTTTATTGATTTTCTATGGATTATAACAGCAAATTAAAGTGTGTGTCTGTGAGAGTGTGAGAGTGACCTTAAAGCACTTACCTTGATATGTCTGAGAAAATCAAAATATGCATCTCAGCTCTCAGATCTACATGGAGTAAACAAAAACAAAGACTGTGGACTTAATCATACACCCAGCGCAATAAGGAGCAAGATGTGTTTCCAAGGCGTGTTTTAAAACATTGCAACTCTCATTTTCCCACTTCTGCCCTGTTGTTTAAATAGCTAATCCATTTGCACCCCTTTGTTGACTCATGGGTGTTCTGGTCTGGAAAAGAGGTGTGTTAAGGCTCATTGTTGGCACGTTTCTATTTTAGGAACTAAAATAGACTGTTCAATAGACCAGCTAAAAGCAAGTCTAAAGTCCAGCACAGAGCATGTCAGTTGTGTGCCTGCCTTACACATTGCTTAATACGCACAGGCTGTAATGCAATACAGAAATATCTTTACCAATGAAAAAGTTTACCAGTGAGAAAGTGAAAGTAAAGGTCAAATGACAGAGGCCCATTATCCTCTTGCTCCAGATGCTTTTTAACTGTTTTCTTAAATGTTTTGAAGTATTCAGTTTTTCTCTCCCAACTCTTAAAGGGAATGGGAGATGAGACCCTGATTGGTTGGTTTTCAAAACTATATACTTCTGCGTCAAGCACACGCGTATGCTACAGCACAGCCTATGCGTGGACGCATAGCCCTCATCGTGGCCGTCGAAAAAAAAACAAAACACTAGCAAAGAAACTCAACACAGAGGAACACACTCACTGCCCGCTAGCATTTTGGAAGTGTTATTGCAGAGGAACACAAACAGCGCGCAGAAGAATAAATCCACGGCAACACTCAGGCCATGTGCGTGGGTCACGCAGAAGTATAAGCCAGGCTTTACTCATTAAGAAAATAATCTCAACCAGGGCCGGAGTGGGACTCCTTTTTAGCTCTGGAGTTTCAATCCTTAAACCGGCCCACCTCAGTCGACGACTGACTATATAAAAATAACGTCATTTTCAATTCAGTTTCAAATGACACTAACATGTCTTTTTCAAGGACACAGCTGCTTTAGAACTTCAAATGTTTTTCATAAATTTGAGAACATTAATTCTTTATAGATATCCAGTCCTTTGTAACGGTCGTCACACACACACACACACACACACACACACACACAAAAATGTACCCCTGCATAAGTAACCCAAACAGTATTTTATGTCTTAACACTGAAAATGAAAAAAATATATTATACTCTGGTGAGGTTTGAACTCAGATCGGCGGCGTTGTAACGCAACGTGCTAACCACTAGACCACGATGATTTGAATGTGAATCATCTGATTTTTATTGAGCAGGTGTAATATTCATTAATGTTAATCAATATTCACTAAGGTGCCGCTGTTTGAGGTGGAATGGGGTGCAGCCCGCAGGTTAATGATGATCATCATTAACCTGCAGGCTGCATTTGGCTCACGGGACTGCGAGAAAATAAATAAAAAGAGCAGATCTGCGGCAAAATAATTTACAAAAAGAATGAGGTTATAGTCAAATAAACAAATAAATGAAAAAAGTGCAACTGCTGAGAGTGCAAGCAGGTAGGGACACCAGCCCTCGCGGGCAAAAAACGGACAAGCCCACCGGGAATTCTCCCTGTTCTCCCAATTAGCCAATCCGGGCCTGATCTCAACCGTGTTAGACCATGCACCGTGGCGCAAAGTGAATTTTTTCCATCCTTAAAATAGCAAAAGTAAATTCGGACACGCCTTTAATGCTTTTGCGCCCTGCGCTTTAGACTGTACACCTAGATTAAAATAAAGCCCTGTGTGTTTTTTTGCAACATCAAATGTGTTTGCAGTGGATGTCAATGGGGCAGAAACAGCCACTAACAGTAAATTAGGGAGAATTTTTTTTTTATAAATTTTTTTTATTTTTTTATTTAACAATGCATCAGAGCCAATGTTGTTACTAATCGTTCACATGTCTAAGACTTTGATAAAAGGTAAAAAAGAACATCCAGTTCAAAATTACTTTTTATGTTAAAAATACATAATTTTCAGGGTTTTTTTTCACCAAATCAGTGACATCATTTGTGAACATTTTAATTATAGAGTTTTCTTTAAAATTTATGCATAAAAATTTGAAAAAAAAGTTTTTTTAACTGATGCATTTTACAGCACTTTAATTTAGTGGATGTTTTCATCTCTAACACTACAAAAGGGTAGTAAATTGAGCAGTTCATAAGGGATATTATCACTGTATATTATCATTATTAGCAGGTTTGTTTTTTTAATTGTCGTATTGGAATTCAGCACATCTTAATGCATAATAAATAGCACATTTTACCCCTGAAGCAGGCAAAAACATTGTACAGCAGTATAATCAATTACCTTCAGCAGTGACTCACAAAGCAGGAGCAGGAAATCCCATGTTTTACAGCCTAGGAAACACAAAAGCTTTGCTTCCATTTCAGCTCTTGGAGTGAGTTTCAGCTCGTCAACTTAATAACCTCCAGCCTAATTGGAAATTAAAGTGTCAGATGTTTTCAGGTGCTTTTGCATTTGCATTATATACCCAAGCTCATTCGCCACACAAGCACATTCCGTTCTAATAAGCGGGACTGAATTCTCATTAAGTCTGAACCGTTTTTTCTTCCATCCATGAGTACCCTTAAGGCAGATAATTGAGTTTGTTTATCTTGTGTTTGCAGTGGTGTATGTCTGCTGCAAGTGGGAGACGTTTCGCAAGTTGATGGTGGAGTTCTGGAGGCAGGGTTTTCCTCAGGAGGAGTACGCTTTCTTCTTCATCGACCTGTTTGGACGCAGTTTGCAGAGCCATCCTGCCAGACCATGGGCAAGAGGAGATGCTGATGACAATGCAGCCAAAGAGGCCTTTAAAGTGAGTAATGTGCTGATGGAATAGTAATAATAACCAGATTGAGACTTTAGAGTCTACAGAGAGGGGTCTAGATCAATTTCAGATGTGGCCCAGATGTGTCTTTTTCTAAAACATATTTTGTTATAAATTTCTACAAAATATTCTTTAAAAATCTTTTAAATCTAATTTGCTAATAATGCTAATTATTAACATTATCAATCACCAGCTATTATTGTATTGTTCCAATCAGTGTTAAATATAGTTTTTCTGTTAAATATGCTTATGAAATTTAAAATTATATATTAAAAAAAGTGTTTATTTCAAATAGAATTATCGTTAATAATGCTTTACTATCACTTTTTTAGTTTGATGTGTTACTAAAAAGATCACACAAAAATTAAGACACAAACATACTTTTACATTGATAATAAAAATAAATGTTTTTTCAAACATCAAAGCAGCATAATAGTTTATAAATAAAATGTGTCTTGGCAACATGGCGGCACAGTGGGTAGCGTCGTCGCCTCACAGCAAGAAGGTTGCTGGTTCGAGCCCTGACTGGGTCAGTTGGCATTTCTGTGTGGAGTTTGCATGTTCGTGTGGGTTTCCTCCTGGTGTTCCAGTTTCCCTCACAGTCCAAAGACATGTGCTATAGGTGAATTGGGTAAGCTAAAATTGACCGTAGTGTATGTGTGTGTGAATGAGTGTGTATGAGTGTTTCCCAGTGATGGGTTGCAGCTGTAAGGGCATCCACTGTGTAAAACAAATGGTGGATAAGTTGGTGGTTCATTCCACTGTGGCGACCCCAGAATAATGAAGGGACTAAGCCTAAAATTAATAAATGAATGATGAAATGTGTCTTTAAAGTAATCATGCTAAAAATGTTGCGTTGAAAAACAGAATTAAATTAGATTTAAAGAAATACTCAAATTTAAAGTATAGTTAGTTTAAAGTCTAACAATATTTTACAACTTTACTATATTTATATATTTACTATATTTTATTCTCATGCAGCCCTGACAACTAAAGAAATACATACAGTTGAAATCAGAATTATTATTATTATTTTTAAAATATTTCCCAAATAATGTTTTATAGAGCAAGGAGATCTTCACAGTATGTCTTACAATATTTTTTTCTTCTGGAGAAAGTGTCTGTTTTATTTTGGTGAGGATAAAGCAGTTTTTAATGTTTTTTAAATTATTTAAAGGTCAAAATTATTAGCCCCTTTAAGCTATATATTTTTTTTCCAATTGTCTGCTGAACAAACCATCAATATACAATGATTGCCTAATTACCCTAACCTGCCTAGTTAACCTAATTAACCTAGTTAGGCCTTAGCTTAGTCACTTTAAGCTAAATACTAGTGTCTTGAAAAATATCTAGTAAAATATTAATATATAATAATAATAATAATAATAATTATAGTTAATAGAAATTAACTATTAAAACTATTATGTTTAGAAATTTATCCAAAAAAAATCTCTCCATTAAACAGAAAATGGGGGGAAAATAATCGGGGGGTTAATAATTTAGGGGCTAATAATTAAACTAATAATTCTGACTTCCAACTGTATATGAATAAAAAACAAATCTGGGCTATTCTACAGCTTGATTTTCTTATTCTGAAAGCATTTATATGTTTTCTTGACTGTGTTTTGGATCATTGTCTTGCTGAAATGTTCATCCTGGTTTCATCTACATAATCCTGCTAATATAGATGTTGTACTGAAGCATTAATTTACAATGAGGAACGGCAGATCCTTGCTGAATAACTACTGGGAGATTGCAGCTGCTGTCTTGGCTTCAATGTCTTTTTACACCTGCCTTCATGTGTTCAATACTTTTTTCCTGTGTCGTTTTATTACACATAACTCAATTTGTGAACAGATTAGATTTTCTTTCTTTTTATTAATGTGTTATTTTGGTTGTTATCAACATCTAGTGAAAAGTCAACAGTATCTATAGAAATATGTTTTCTGAGAAAAATGGGGATGTTTTGAATCCTTTTTCCCCCACTGTGTGTGAATATTTAAGTTTATTATTTGACATTTTCAATGTACCAACACAACAATAACCATGTCGAATCATAAAAAAATGCCAGACACTGTCCACAGATTTCAACAGTGAAATGCATAGGCATATTTACTGTGAAACTATACTTGTGCAGGTCTTTGCTTATGGTGATTAGCAGGCAGCTGCAGCTGTGTTTCCTCATTTCAGATCAGACAGATAGACACACACTGAGGAATGTGCTGTGTTTGGCTCAGAGTCACCGAGAAACATGACTGGATGTTTGAGAAATGCGGAAATATGACAGCATGGTGAAGGCTGTCGCATGGCTTCATGTCTTCATGTGGCTCACTGCCAACCCTCACCCCCTACTGAGGCTGAAAATGAACTTTATACAGTACATGTTTATTTAGGCTGAAGCGATTATTTTCTTTAGCTATCTAAAACCTTATTTTTGGAGAAATATGCGTTAGTGTAATTGATGAGATCTAGTGGAAATGTGTGCACGCTTCTATTAAGAGCTCATTTTAAAATGAAAGATGATTACATAAATAATTATTTATAAGACTGATTGAGTCGGTCAATTTCTGTAGTTCGCATTTAAACACAATATTGGTTTTAGCCTACTATGCTATTGTTTTGGAGCTTTACTACAATAAGTTTCCATTCATTCAAGGTTAACACTATTTTTATTTAAATATAATGTACATTAAAGCATTAGATAATTGATTAGTGCTATTTGGTTGAGAATTCCTCATCCTTTGAGGGCTTACTCTGCTCTGATTGGTCTAGTAATGCTTATGTTAGAACTTAAACACCCTTTATCTAAATTTCATCTATGAAGACTTTCTCAGCACTTACAATCATGCTATGAACAGGAAGGAAGGTGTCAGTTTTGCTACTCTGCTCTGATTGATTTGATGGCTAAGTCTGTTTTGATTGTTCTAGTACTGTTTAAAATAGGTGTCAAAAAATAAATACCCTTTATCCTAAATCTGAATTTTACCTATAAATACTTTCTCAGCACTTATAAACACGTGATGACAAGGTTTTTACTGACTTTTACCACATGTTGAGTTTGATTCATTGATTGATTCATTCATACATTCATTCATTTTCATCCACTTTGCTGGGGCCGGAGTGCAGGGGCAGCAGACTTAGGAGTGAACCCAAGACCTCCCTCTCCCCAGACTTCCCTCTCCACAGACACTTTCTTCAGCTCCTCCGGGGAAATCCCGAGACATTCCTTGGCCAGCCGAGAGACATATTCCCTCCAGCGTGTCCTTGGTCTTCCCCGAGGCCTCCTCCTGGTGGGACATACCTGGAACACCTCCTTAGGTAGGCATCCAGGAGCCATCTGTAACAGATAACCGAGCCACCTCAGCTGACTTCTCTCCAGGTAGAGGAGTAGCAGCTTTACCCTGAGTTCCTCCGGTCTGACTGAGCTCCCCACCCTATTTATAAGGGTGCGCCCTGCCACCCTCCGAAGGAATCTTATTTCGGCCGCTTGTATCTGAGATCTTGTCCTTTCCGTCATGACCCAAAGCTCATGACAACAGGTGAGAGTAGGAACATAGATTGACCGGTAAATCGAGAGCTTTTCCTTTCAGCTCAGCTCCTTCTTTACCACAACAGACCAGCACTTCGACCGCATTACTGCTGCCACTGCACCAATCCGCCTGTCAATCTCACATTCCATCCTTTCTTCACTCGTGAACAAAACCCCAAGATACTTGAACTCCTCCACCTGGGATGAGGACTTTCCTCCAACCTGGAGATGGTAAACCACCTTTTTCCGGTGGAGCTCCATGGCCTCAGACTTGGGAGTGCTGATTCTGATCCCAGCCGCGTCACACTCAACAGCAAACTGTCCCAGTGCATGCTGAAGGTCCATGTTCTGTGAAAGTAACAGAACAACATCATGTGTGAATAACAGATGAAATCCTGTGGTGCTCAAACCGGACCCCCTCCAGCCCTGCCGGAGCCCAAAATGAACTGGAAACAAGTCTAACTTATTTCCAGCAATGCGAACCAAACTCCTACTGTTCTAACAGTCCGCCTCTGACCCCATACTCCCAGAGCACCCTCCACAGAATGCCACAAGGGACACGGTCGAATGCCTTCTCCAAGTTCACAAAACACATGTGGACTGGTTGGGCATACTCCCATGAACCCTCGAGCACCCTGGTAAAAATATAGAACTGGTCTAGTGTACCACGGCCTGGACAAAAACCGCATTGTTCCTCCTGGATCCTAGGTTCAACCATCAGCCAGGTCCTCCTCTCCAGTTCCTTGACATAGACTTTTCCAGGGAGGCTGAGGAGTGTGATTCCCTATAGTCGGAGCACATCCTCAGGTCCCCTTTTTAAAAATGGGAACTACCACCCCAGTTGCCCAGTCCAGAGGTACTGTCCCTGACCTCCGTAGAGACATGTCAGCCAAGACAGCCGCACAATATTCAGAGACCTCAGATACACAGGGTTGAGTTGAGTTTTCTCCTAAAATTTCTTCTACTTCCTTTTGTTAGAATCTGGTTAGAAGGGAAACTGTCATTTGAAACTCACATAAATTAATTGCTCAAAAAGGTTAAAGCCCGTATTGGTTTGCTTTACAGAAACAAATCTTCGTTTACGCACTTTTCAAAATAGGATTTGGTAAAATAACAGTATTACCAATTTTGGATTATGGTTATTTGATTTACAGATCAGCTTCAAAAGCTCTCCTCCACAAACTAGATGTTATTTACCATGCAGCAATTCGTTTTGTTAATGGTGCATCATTTAATACTCATCACTGTCAACTGTATTCTTTTTTGAATTGATCTTTTTCTGTTGACTTACAAAACTCCATTGGGCAACTTCACTAAATTTACAGTCACTTCTTAACATTCAAAAATGTGATATGAACAGGAAGGATGGTGTCTGTTTTGATGCATCAATTTGAACCCAAATAAAATAGTAACTGCAAAGTGTATTCGGTTTTGCAGCACAGAAACTCTTCCAGACCTC